GTAGTTGGAGAGTGCTCGTGAGCTGGAGGAAACAGCTGAATCCCGAAAGCTGTTTCAACTCACCCAAACAACTGGTATCTAGAAGTATAGTGTCGGTCAAACAGTCCGTGGAGTCGATAGCATGCCAATTAGTAACATTTAAAATGGTCTTAGACGATGGACTAAGATTTTCGAACGACAGTTTAGCTAGCCTATAGCCCTAACAGAATCAAGTAAATTGTCCTGTGCTCCCAAGTCAACGACTACCGATCCACTTAGTCGAGTGGTCTAGCAAGAACTTGAACTTCTTTAGCCTCACAAGTTAGCAGACATGAATGACTGCCTCTCTTTTGAGGATGGTGGCGAATTTCTCGTCAGAAAAGTGACCGAGTTGTTGCGACAGTGTTAGGTCTTTGATCCTTCTACTTGTCTCAATCTAGGTTAAGGCCTTGACCGGTTTAACCTCGATGCTAGAAATGCGTGAGTCTGAATTGAGACTAAAGGCTTTAAGTAGAGATGAAAACTATTCTACCACCTCATTGGTTAACAAACGAGCGACCGGAACACCACTCGATTTATTTACTATTCCCAATTTCCAGTTACTTATTTTTTCCTTTATCCTTGTGTTGCGAATTGAGCTTTACTTATTTTACTCCATTAATCTATCTACCTTTACAAGTGTTATAATATGACTTTTGACACCAACTTCTATTTTCTAGAAACTTGTTTCCTTGTGTTTTTAAGATTTTTCTTTTGGAATTCGCACATTACTTAACATATAAGTGTTTAAAATCTAGAGCATTTTTACTATTCTTGGTTATTTATTACTCCTTTCAGTAATCCTGATTGGTATGATAAAAATAATTACTACTATTGTTTTTAGGTTGAAAGGAATAAGAGAGAATCCGAAAAAACAAATGATTTGATATTATTCTGTTAAATTCAGTTTTCGCTGTATTTAGATTAGAAATTGGAAAAATTGTACGAAACTCTTCTCTATGCTCCTCATAAGTATCACATTTTGAACTAATAAAGCTTCTGCATTGTTTCAACTAGTCAACTTGGAACTAGTATATCGAAACGTTTTCAGGAATTGCATAAAATTAGTCTTGTCAAATAAGTCTTCAGGAACTAGTTATTTAGTATTAACGAGCGATACAGAAGTAGACACACACACATGCATATATACAAAAGCACATATAACAATAAACACAAATCATTGTTTAAATAAAAACTACCTAAAGTATACAAGAGTTAAAAAGTAGAGATCAATCTGCATACTATATCTTTCTCTTCCTGTGTAAACGTATCTGATGTGCATATTCTGTTAATCAGACAGCTTACAGTTTACAATTTGTTATTGGATTGGCTTGACTTTTTTAGCATACGAATCGTCATATGTTGTACCATTTTCAGTTAGTACATATATGCGTATATACCACCGTGTGTTAAATTAGGAAGTTATGTTTACAATAGACTATGTCTACACTTAAGATAAAAAAAATAGAAAAAGGTAATACTGAACAAACTGAGGATTTCATAAGTATTTATGATATATTTTACCAATAATCAATAATAAGTATATTTTTGATACTGCATAGGAGCGGAATATAGAATACGCTTCTCATTCAATATGAAACCTACTTGCATCGTAGTATATTGGTGTTTTAATCGATTAGACGAATCTACAGTTCAGTAATCTTCCCAGTAATAAAGCATTATAATATTAATTTATGCGAAACGGATATCAAAAGATCCCATTCCACAAAAACTGGTTTCAACTGAAAAAAACCATTGGATAGTCTGAAGCTCCTGAAGAGTGTTGATTCACAACCACTAAAAAATGGGACTTAGATATTTACATCTTGCTCAAAACCTCATAGTACTCAATCATTGATTCAGAACCAGATACTTGGTGCTGTTCAAATATAGTCCGCTCGAGACAAAGTAAGATGAGAGAAGTTAACTGATAATACTCCTGTGAACAAGTCATCTCAGTCGAATATAATTTTGACTTCAAGACATTATAGGCTGATCAAATAATTGTATGGCTACTTGAGATGATTCCCAATCGATTTACATTTCAGTGAATGCACTAATATTGTGGACTAGAATTACATTTGTCAGGTGGATCAAGCAAGAATTTAAGCTCATCAATTTCATAAGCCAATTGATGGTAGAAATGAATACATTTGTACAAAAAATGGATTCCCACATAGAGACCTAACAATTAAAACGGATGCTCTCACAACATGAAATTAAAATATCGATTGATGAATGTTTGTTGAACATATTAAGATGACATCGTCAAACCCAAAACAATACATATTATGGAGAATTAAGTAGGAGAAAGAATAAGTTAATCCACTGTCATTTGTGCGTGAGGTCAGAAACCCCATCTCGTAGAAAACAACCTTGTTAAAAAACACTAACCAGAATAAATAATTCAAACCATTTAAACCCTGACCACCTAGTTCAATGATCTTCAGATTGAAATCATGATCTTCATTCAGAACAATTATGACGCCTCATGGTGAAATCCCAGATTCTTCAAAACCCACGAGGCCGATGCCCCTTCTAACAACCAGTGCAACAATTAACATAGGTACATGGAATGTCCAAAAAATGTAGGAGACCGGAAAAACCATTCAAAAAGCTTCAGGTGTAAGTAAATGATAGTATGTAGTTACTTGAAACTAATGTAGTAAACTGGCACTATGTAGTTCGAACAAATGGATCACATTTTAATTTGTTCAGATATTTCTATAAGAAATAAAAGATCAAACGCAACAAATCGGAAAATAGTTATGGCATACTTTGTCTTTTGATCGCACCATCCAAATTAATAAAATGAACCAATTATGTTAATTTTTTGGAAAGAAAACTTCATACAATTTAGTTATTGATGGATATAATTGATGGCGAATGGCATTTAAATCAATAGTTTGTTTTCTAAACATTACCATAAAATGTATACAATCGATTAAAACATATAGTGCGTAAAAAGTAATCCAAGAAATGGATCTTTAATTACCAGTCTACATGTGTTATTATTTGTCGTCTTTAGTCATCTTGGTTTAACAAGAACTTATTTTTGGACAAAAGGTTACTTATGTAAATACATAAAATTAAAATTATAAAAATATCACATCTAAATAGCATCGCTATATATTATTTTAGTGTTTTATCACTGAATGTAATATTTTTGAGTTTAGTATGGGAAAGTATCGAGTTATGAACTAGGAACTCCCTGCGGAAAAGATCGCAATATGTTGGGTCAATTCTGAGTTCGACATTTCATCTGAATGCAGGAAAAACATTATGTTGAAATATAATTAGGAATAAGGAAAGATAAAATTTATCACACAAGATGATTGAAGAAAAAAAGTTCACTGGGAACAACCTAACTGAACAATATAAAGAAAGAAACCTCAAAAAACCGAATAGCTTTAGTTTAGCCGAAGACTTGATGAATTAAATTCATAAAGCAGTAAGCTAGAGAAGATAACACTATGAAACAGTGATGAAGGGTAGACGATGTATGATAAACTGAAGAAATTCACACATAAAACTATGCGCCTATGAGCACAGAATAGTTTAAGTCAAATGTTAAGTGAGAAATGTGAAAGGAGACACTGTCGATTGAAGCTTTCGATGTAATTCTTCAGGGTTTGGCACATATATATCACAGAGTTAAGTACAACTTGATTCCGTTCACCAAGACAGTTTATTAAACCTTCTTAGTCTCCTTACACATATGGAAGGTTAGGATTGTGTATAGGAAGTGTGTCTATCAGTATCTAAGTCGGATGGCCGTACAGAGTAACAGGATAAAGTCTGTCATAATCAATGTAGAGTCTAGCACAAAATTTGCATTCTGTCGAACAGTACTCAAGTTTACCAAGTTCCAAATCTGATTAGGAAAAAATAAGTGATAACTGGCTTCAAAAGTGATGCATAAATATTTGATATTTATGAAAGTACATTTATAGAGCGACAATACACTAGCGAATGGTAACTTAATGCAACTAATGATTAATCATAGTTTTCCCTAAACAGTACCAGTAATAGTAAGCAACATCTGATAAGGATTTCGACTTGATGAACTCATGATAATTCGTTAGATATGAAACCTAAAGATTATAGGTTTGATTGCATGTAAAAGGTTGTAGATGAATATAAGTGATAAGTTCGAAACCATGACGAAACAACTGTTTAATGTATGCCAGTTGTAAATGGTTTTTCACCTGGTTTCAGTTCTAAATTGAAATTTCATTCGAACAGTGTTAATTATACTTTGACAAAACAAAAAAAATATGATTAGTGTTTGACAAAAAGATATTTTTGCATGGAGAAAACAATAAAATAATATTCGGTTAAAGTAAATCATGTTGGAAAAATATTTTTAAGGCAAAATATCTGTAAGAAAAAATTAGGAAAGAGATGAAAATAATTGAACATGGGGCACAGAAATTTATTATCGATGTTGAAGCTAGGAGTAGGGTAAAGCCAAAAATTGCAGATCAATTAATGAGGTGTTTCACATAACCAAACTTTCAATAGTAACGTAGTACTTGGTTTGGATGAGGGCTATTTTCGATCAAACCAATACGTAGTATCAGTGCATCAAATTATTAACTGCTGATTTCAGCAAGGCCTGAAATCATTAATATCCGTCTGCGTGTCAATCATTTATATACTTTAACGTATATTAAAAAAAAAACTTTTAAAAGAATGTTTGGCGAAAATACTTTCAGTTTGTTTTCTTACAACATGAATCTCAACCATTTTAAACTGCAATAATCATAAGTACGTCCATTGGCACAAGGAAATATAGATAGTATTGAAATGACGAGCAGTTACGTTTTTGTTACTAGGACATTTGATCGACCACAAAAATGATTATAAAAAATAAATAACCAATCAAAATCCGACTATGAAATATATCGAATAAGTGGAAATGTTTTATGGCAGAAAATGTTAACTAAAACAAGACTTATACACATACAAGAGAAACTTACCAAATTTAAAAGGAGTATTCGACAATTGATGTAAACAATCCGAATACTCATTGTTTATTAAATTCGGTGTAGATATAGGGCTAGTCTGTGTAGAGTTAGATTGTTTCGTTACACTACTACAAGCTAAATAAATTGCTCTGTATATTAACTGCAAGCATATGAGAAGTCCTAAAAGGTTAGTGTTTCTCCATAATTGATTTGAATTAAATTGACAATTCAGAGAACTCCATGTTGGGCCATGAAGCCAGCAGTCAGGCATATTTAGCCAACAAATAGTACAGATCTGGAATGTAAACAAAGAAAAATATTTAAGTAATGAATTTATATATGTGCTAAAACTACACTCAACATAGATATGATGTAACGGCCGAGAAAAACGACATTACATGTTTAAAAAAACATGTAGAATCATAGCTAGATACATCTTGACCACTCTATAAAAATTTCAGTGTAACAATAAAAGATCCACTTTGTGGGAATTAATAAAAGATGAACTTTATGAACCATATTGGGATAAACAGGATTGAACAATCCGGTTAATAAATGAAAGTTCGCCAATTAAAATAGCGATACAGATCTAAACTGTAAACGAGTGGAATACTCAACAGTATATAAGCAAATAGCAAACAACATCATGATAATTTGATGATTAATAACTATGACTAAACGCAATTAAAATTAATTAATAAACACCAAGATCGGATTGAGCGTTAGTCTGTAATGAGTATGACAAATATCTTGACATATATTACGAATTTGTTTCAAAATACCCAATATACGTTTTACTTTCTTATCAATGGCTGTGAGATTTCGGTTTTTTACATTAATTCACAGAATGTTGTTGACCATCCTTTTCGCTTTAAAGTTTCAAAATATCAGTTGCTCGATTTCGTAAATTTAACTTTCATTGGTGTTAGAATACAGATATTCGAAAGGTTAAACAATAAACAACATGACATATCAATTTTCGCTGTATATGACACAAAACTACCAGTAATATGAAAATAAACTAACTAATTTTGGCTTGACTTGTTCAAGGGTCAAAAAATTCCTAGTTTAAGCATCTTATAGAACTCCTCCCTGTATAAAGTGAGGCCATTCCGACTAAAGCACCGAAGATGTAGAAATACAAGTGTTTCGGTTTTAATACGTACTGTATTATTCTTTAGCTCTGACTAACGATAGATGTAGCATCCTAGTATATGGACGTGTGTTTAGATATGGGAAAATTACTAGACCTATGGATGATACTTAAATCTTATTACTATTTCTTTAACAATATACTTCAGCGTCCTGGCGGGGGGATCCTGAACAACAATAGTATATTGCACATTTTTTGACATTTATTGTCACTATTTTTAACCTATGTAAACTGTTTTTATTTCGTCACTTTCGTAGAGTATCCTAATCTTGGATATTTAATTAAACTCTTGATTAATGTGTACGCTTTGTTTGTCTGTTGATTAAATATATAATACGTTTCCTTCCAGGTTTGAACGTTAATCTGTTGCTTCCGTCTGGCTGTTTTCTCTTGTGTACGTCAAATAAATTGTTCTACAATACCGCGTGTCTTGACTTTCAGCTATGCAGTGTCTTAAGATAGATAGATAGATCAGAAATTTTTGAGCCTTTAAGCAGTATGAGGTAGCTAGGGACAGTTTCAATTCGGAGTTAAATCTGTTGCAGAGATTCTGTACGGACATGTGGTTTCTTTCACTTCACTTTTAACATTTGTGATGTAAAAAATATTGTCAAAGATTTGGATAACTATTGTTTAACATCACATAGAAATACAAATTATCTTTTAAATAATTACCTTTGTGACATGCGATAGCGTTGAATCAAAGTTTTGTTTCAATATTTTATCCAGCAATGATATTTAGAATATTCGCAGACAATACAAAGTTCATTCTAGTAAATAAGACCTAATCTGTAAGAAATATTCTTTCTTAAAACAATAAAGTTCCCATCCCAAGATATGTGGAATTCAACTAATCCCCACTTGAATGAGACACAACTACTACCATATGCCACCCTATGTATATTATATAATAATGTTATTTACTTCATAACACTGAATACCTAATTCAGCATAAGAAACTATGTCTAATAAATCTAATAATCAAGAGCTACAATAGGAAATCAACACATTCCAAAGTTTATTGACAGAACATAAATGAGACAAAGCATGAAGTGTAAGTGTCTATGATAGATCAGAGACAACTGATTCAACTGAAATCACTAAATGGGACGACTTAATGTATAGATGTTTTGTTAAGATAGAAAAATATATTAGAAAGGCCGTAAATATATATGAAATATAAATTAGCTAAACTATTACAATAGAGAAGAAATAAGTATTTATACAAAATGATTAGCTACTCATATTTTCAAGATTTGGGACACATTTTAAGAAGTACATTATGAGAATTTAGTGTTGGATATAAAAAAGCTTAAACTAATCACCTTATATGAGCCTGAACCATAATGAGGACAATTCATGGATCCACCAGTCCATAATAAATGTGACCGGACCCCATGATCGGCGTTATTCGTGATAACAATGTCAGTGCTTGTGACACATTTTCTAGGAAATATTTTTTCAGACTTCGAAGGAAGTTTACGATCGTAATGGATATAGTGCAAATCGAAATACTGGTCGATATCTACTTGTGTATCTACTATACTTTCCACCTTTTTTGAATAATTGGAACTCCTTTGTTTGAAATCAAAGTCGTCGTCATGCCCAGTTGAAAATTGTCTTTTGTTTTCTGATTTATTTGGACTGAACACCTGGTGTGTCTTTTTCAGATATTCAAAAGTTTGTAACTATCACGAATAAAAAAATAATTCATCATTTTACAAACATATATTATTTATTTTAAATACTAATGAAAGTAAAGAAAATGTTCCTAACGACTTTTAATTATTTGTTCTCTAGCATTCCCATGTAAATACCACAATAAAATATAAATTACACTCACTTGGCCCGACAGTAGCTGGTAACTAATCGACAATGCTTGTCTACTGAGCCGACCACATATAGCTTTGTCGGCTGTTTTTAACTTGAAGGCGTACTGTAACGGGTAGACCGTTTGGATGGTAATATGGTAACAAATTTTAGGCTTGAAGATGAAATAATACTGTTAAACGCAATAAAGAATGGCGGTAACGGAGGATTTACCTGAGTGATCATAATCTCTGGCGACATGGAATTATTACAGATGGAAAATTGTTTCGGCACTACCCCTAGATGCTTTCGGTATTCTCGAAAGGATTTAAAAACTACGGAGCTAGCAGTAGACAACCAAAAACTATTGCCAAGAAAGACGCTGTTTCTAGCTGCAGAAAGTTTTTCAGTTTGGTTTATGATCCCTCTATTAAATCAATGAAGCAACAATCACTAACCTAATCGCTTTCACACGTTCGTTGAAAAGAACTATTCTTCCAAGCCATAGTTTTCTAAAAATTGCTAATCGCCCTCACATGGGCAACACGTGAGTTAAACCTGTCAGAAACTAAATCCCTTCCTTGTTCTATAGTTTTGATCATACTATTGATAATGGTGAAATTTTACCATTGGTCTGCTAAATCGGTTCGCTAAACTATATGTTGACGTTCACATTGTTTGAGCCCCTTCCAGTCAAACAACAAGCCTCACCGGTAACAATCCGAGAACCCCTTAGCATTAATCTATCCTCAAGCCACACGACTCATAAAATAACCTAGTGAAGTTGTTCATCGGACCTTACTACCGCGACTCACTAAAAGAATAAACAGATGCGATATAGCAACCTCATGTGATCTCAAAACTAAAGACACAGCATCATATTTAAAGACAGAAAATGAACATTTGTAATACATGCCCTGATCACCATTAAAAACGGTTAATAGACGACTTTTCCCCCTTCTTATGTATGTGTTTGGATTCTGATTAGGCCTGAGTAAAAGTAACTGCAGGTCCGCCTTTTTTGGACTCAGAAACTTTACAACAGGAAGATATGGTTAAGCTGAGAATTGTAATGAAAATATCACGTGTGAAACGTCCAGGAAAGTATACAGATCTTCATCACGAGGTAAGTAGATTATATTTGGAATTTTAGGAAAGACAATGTGATTCAGAAAACCATCGTCCCAGACTTTGGATACTGGCAAAATGCTCAAGCAATTACCATGAGTATTTAGCAAAAACTCAACAGATAGGAAAGGTAGTGGCAAAAGCTAACGCTAGGTAGTTCACTAGACTAACGAAAACCAAGTTATTGAAACTGCCGCTAAAATGACAGATCAGAAATCCACAATACGTCTCCTGATTTTATCGTGAAGAAAGGAGTAAAGTCAGAGAGGTTAGATTTACAGGATTTTAAATATGGTGGTCAATAGATATCGGCCAGTTAGATATTGCTGTCAGAGTGACTTCAAGCCGGGTACGAAAACCTGTACTTGGTAAAAAGTTACATTACGACATGTATTGAGATATTATATTCGGAAACAACAAAGCTGAGAAGACCAGGCAAATTTCAGGTATGTCTATGAATGAATCGAGCAGCACTTTTATCAGATTTCGCTTCTTAAGAATATTTACTGACAACCCGCCGTAAATGTATCCACAAAGACAGCATTTTATCGTTTATCGAGTAGCCTTGAGGTAAAGCATCAAAGGGTGAACTAGGGTACACACCTAATATGGTTTTCTACTTGCCCCAGCCCCCTCGGATGCAAAATTGCTTGCAACAGTGGTGACAAAGGAATTCTTAAATCACGAAAATACCAACTACAAATAATAGTGTAACGTTCAGAATAAGGTGTCTGCTATAATTTAAATTTGTTTCAAATCTAACATTACCGAAGTAGTTTGTAAATCAAGCTCTCATCTACTACGAATATACCTAGAACGAATGACTGACGAGTATATAAACACGAGAAATTTAGGAGACACTTACACCTGAACACCACTCAAATAAGTTGTATAACCAGAGCGACCCAAGACTAACTAATCCAGCTGCCAAACCCAATAACAGCACATAACGTTTATATGTGGAACCTAAAATAACATCAACAAATGTAAAAACAAAATAATATTAAAGTAAGACTAGGTCCAAATAAAGACAATAAGTCATCCATAAATCTTATATATATATATATATATATATATATATATATATATATATATATATATATATATATATATATATATATATATATATATATATATATATATATATATATATATATATATATATATATATATAGCCATGATAATTAATATTATAGATGTACGGCGTAATATAACTTCACCTATAGCTCTTCTAGAGTTACTACCGGTCCCAAGTCCGGGTGGAGCAGGAGGCTTGGGTCGGCGGTCGGCAACCCCATCTCGTAGAAAACAACCTTGTTAAAAAACACTAACCAGAATAAATAATTTAAACCATTTAAACCCTGACCACCTAGTTCAATGATCTTCATTCAGAACAATTATGACGCCTCATGGTGAAATCCCAGATTCTTCAAAACTCACGAGGCCGATGCCCCTTCTAACAACCAGTGCAACAATTAACATAGGTACATGAAATGTCCGGAAAATGTAGGAGACCGGATGAGCCGCTCAAATAGCTACAAAAATGAGGAGATACAACTTGGCCGTTCTCGGAATAACTGAAACACTTTGAACATAAGCAGAACAGAAAAGATTAGATTTGAGAGAGATGCCGTTGTAATCTGATCATGTAGAGGAAAATGCTTCGCACAAGCAGGCAGTTGCTCTGATGCTGTCCAGACAAGCACAAAAAGCACTTATAGGATGGGAATTTCATGGACCCACAATCATCATAGCATCCTTCAAAACAAACAAGGAGGGAATCACAATAAACGCCATCCAGTGGTATGAACCCACCAATGATAACAACAAAGGCGACAAAAATCAGATTTATCAGAGGCTGCAGTCCATCAAAGAGCCTTTTCATCATGATGGGAGACCTAAACGTCAGGGTTGGAATCGACAACACCGACCATAGAGATATCATGGAACGACATCGATTGAGTGGAAATACGGAACGAGAATGGTGACAGATTTGCAAATGTATGTCCCCTCAACAAAATGGTTATAGGCGGCACAACATTCCTACACAAGTGCATACACAAAGCTACTTGGGTCTCACCGGATCACACTAAAGAGAACCAGGTCGATCATATTTGCACCAATAAAAAATTCGGAAGGTCAATGGAAGATGTGAGAACTAAGAGAGGAGCTGACATAGATTTTGATCACCACCTGGTGGTTGCCAAGATCACAGTGAAGCTAAGAAACTATTGGACAAATAGCATTACGTAAGTCTAATACAGTCTTCCTTCGACATACTGCCAAACTCGATCAATTCGAGATAGCTCTTAGCGACACGTCCCAAGTCTAACAAGATCTACTCAAAGAAGAGCAGAGGAACAGATGGGTGGGACACTTAGAAGAGCTATTGAGTATACCAGCTCCACTGACCCCAAAAGACATTCAAGCAGCACACAGAGACCTTCGCATAGCTATCACTCTACAAACGGTCGGAGAAATCAGAATGGCTAACAGACAAGTCAACAGTGGGAAAGCAGGAGGACCAGTATGTTTTATTTATCTGAACACAAATACTGCCACAAAGGAGCACCAAATACATATGCGCCACACAAGTCACTTGATTGTGTGTGGGCTGTGATGCTACCCGGGTGCCCAAACCGAAGCAGGAGGGTCAGACGACATACCAAATGAAGTACTAAAGTCGGACGTAGCACTAACTGCAAACATTCTCCTTGTTCTATTCAGGAAGATGTGAAATGAGTAACACGTGCCACCGACAGACTGGGAAGAAGGATATCTCATCAAGATACCAAAAAAAGATCTCAGCAAATGTGAGAACTACACCGAAATCACAGTACTATTTAGTACCAGGAAAAGTTTTCAGTGGAGTGATGTTGAACCGGATGAAAGAAGTAGACGCTCAGCTTCGAGATCAACAGGTCGGATTCTGTAAGGATCAGTCGTGCACAAGCCAAATCGTGACACCACCAATCATTGTGGAGCAACCAGTTGAATAGAATCCGTCACTAGACGTCAACCTTCTTGACCATCAGAAAGCATTTGACAGAGTGCATAGGAGACCTTATGGATCCTTTCTCCACACTATGATGTACCTGAAGAGATCATCAACATCATACGGAATTCATACGACGGACTACACTGAAAAGTTGTGAATGAAGGGCAGCTCATAGATTCATTTCAAGTGACGAACGGTGTCACACATTGGTGCTAATTATCTGTCTTTCTCTTTCTCCAGGTGGTCAATTGGATTATGAAGACCTCTACATATCAGGGGAAGCACGGCATACAATGAACAGTTTGGATGCAACTAGACTAGTGGCACTTCACAGATCACCTAGCTCTTCTATCCCACATATAACAAACAAATGCAGCTGAAGACAGCCAGTTTATCAGCAGCCTATGCAGTGGTAGACCTCAACATACACTAAGGAAATACCAAGATCCTAAAACAAAACTCGGAAAATACCAACTCAATCACACTTGATAGAAAAGCTTTGAAACAGATGGAAACCTCCACGTACCTGAACAGTATCATCGATGAACTCGGATAAGAGCGTCATTTCTATAGTTGAAGAGCATATACAACTCAAAACAACTGTCAACCGATATCAAAGTCAAAAGTTTCAGTACGAAATTCAAGACAGACCTACTGAACGGAGCTGAAACTTAGAGAACTACCACAACCATCAGCAAGAAAGTACAAGTATCTATAAATAATCGTCTACGCAAGATAGTCCAGATCCGTTGGCTGGATAACATTAACAACAGCCTACTGTAGAAAAGAACAAATCAGCTTACATCTGAAGGGTAAAATAAACAAACGAGATGGAGGTGGATAGGACATACACCATACAAGCTCTAACTTGGAATTCTGAAGGCAAAAGGAAAAAAAGAAATCCAAGGAACGTGTTGCGTTGGAAATTAGAAGCAGACATGAAGATTAATAGCAACTGGAAACAACTGAGAGGGATTACTCAGGACAGAGTTCGATGGAGAAAGCTGATGAGCGGCCCATGCTACTCTGCGAGGTTTAACAGCTGTAACCTAGCTAGTAATGATGCAATATTTTGGTAATCGCAGGAAAAGACGTGTAACTGGGTCGAAAGTGAGTCGTCCAAAATTGCCACACGACGAAGTGAGATTAAAAAGTTGAATATCGAAATGGAAGTATCAATAATGATGGAAATAAATCAGCTGAAAAGAAACACTTTCCTGAAATTCTTGTTCCCCGTTTTCTGTTGAAAAATATGAGACCATTAAATTCTTTAAAATTATCGGTCAGGAACAATAATAGTAATATTACATGTGAGAGTAAAATGCTATAGCCTGTAACAACTAAGTAATAAGCAACCAACTCAATTTAGGTAAAAGGTATTCAAACCAGTGAAAAAAGGTTACATTTTAATGACTGAACAACTAAGTTGTAGCTAAGCAGTCAAAAGTGGTCAACAAATGGAAATGAAAGCAGACTGCAGCGTTTATTGACCACTCTGTGGTTAAAACCGGATTTAAGTTGTCATAGTGTTTTGCTTATCCTACTCCACAGAATCTTTACCATGGCAAGACATTTTGGCTCAGCGAAACCTGAATTAATGGTATGGTCAGCTCCTACTCACACCATGAACGTTTATAGGAACTATATTTCAATATCCAGTAAACTGAAGGGGACTGCGTGACCCTACAAAGGAGATCATTTGTTTACACCAGATGGGAATGCATAGATAAGTATCAAAAGTTCAAAGTAGAACGAATTTTAAAAAAGATATTTTATTAACGAGTAATTATTATCATATGAGTTTTTGTAGTTGAGTAAATAACGATAATGAACGAGTCCAACGTATCAATATCTCACGGAATTTTATCCATTGGCTTTCTCCCAGGTATTGTACAGGATATTTGCTCACTCATCCAATTTGGTTAAATAGTTTTGGCATTGTAGTTGATGCCAGTTTGTGATGAAAACCCTAAATCTCATTCCTAACGTTATTCATCAACCGTAAAACAACTCTAGTTCCTCAGACAGGTTTAAAACCCTCATTTGGTCATAGATATTAGATGGACACTCAAGGTCAGTCCAGTTTAGCTCAAAGGTCGTCCATAAATTATAGTCTCACCGTTTTATATAATCAGTGTCAATTAAAGTAAAGGTTGAAACAGAAGAAATCTACTAGATTATCATCAGCTTACTAAGCGATATCTAAACAATACTTGAACAATTTAAATTTTAGAGTTTTTAGCCTCACAACTCCAACAAGCTTTCCGCTTCATCCCTTGGTTTTCAGTATGGAATACACCCATCAAAACAACACTAAGACAAATAATGACAACTAACATTCATTTGGCTCTGATATTTGGGAAAACGGTTGTGTAGTGTAGCGATTTGATGGAACGAAAACAGCAACAGAAGTGCTTAGTCTGCCATGGTATAATTCCACAAATCTAAAAGTCGGAAAAATTTCTTTTCTGTAACTGTCAACATGAAAAAAGCCATTTCGATCTTGTTTTCGTTTAAAAAATCCAGCCTTGGCAGAAGCGAATTTCGAATAGTCATAGTAGAAGCATTGATTACTATTCCGATATATTCTTTGTGCCGTCGGTATTCTCATATCCACTGGACAGCCCACATATGAACTGGACTACAACCGGCTTAAGTGACCCGAAGTTCGATCAACCAGTTAGACATAAACCCAGAAGAAAACCCTTTGAAATGTCGCCTAATTTAAACGACCTTAAATCTCTACAATCTTCGTATCTTATGTCCAATATAACTTTTGACACAGTAAAATGGTGGCAAGAATTCTTCAGTTCTGTGTACCATTTATCTCGGTGCTGTTTCAAGATCGCAAATGAAGTTACTGTACCTCTTTCTTGTGAACGGGACATGAACCGATTAAGATTGGCTGCCTAAAAATTTGTAATATATGTAAAAAAAATCATTACCCAGGCACAGAAAAACTATGAAAGCAGTTGAATTACGATAGCCATGCTTTCCTCAGATGATTCTTTTTGTACGTCAAATCAAACAAAGACGTAGATTTTTGACGAAGATTTGTAACAGCATAGGTTGGTTGGTTAAGAGTTGACCCCAAACAACCAAGCATATGCCAAAACAGTATTGTTCAAGTATTCATTCACTTCCTTATTTTGTATAAGCGTTATATTCCTTATTATCTTATATTGAATGCTGAAAGCCTTTGTTTGTCTGAACAGATAATCCCACGCTCCACTGTGGCTGCGCTAAGATCGAAATAAAGAAATATTCCCTTTACGACGGGCTTCTTCTATCAATAACACGAGGGTTATCTATAGGCACGAAACTGGTGAGCCCTTTTTGAACACAAATTAACCTCATTTTTGTTATTAATATTATTTTTTTTTACTCAATCGTAAAAGTAGACCTGATAATCCGTAAACTAAGTTGGGTATATAAATAGTTTATTTTTTTTTATTATCTTAAGTTATTCGTGTCATAGAAACCATTTTTTTTCGTGCTAATTTTGTTGCTATATTTGTCACATACCTCATGTCAGACTTAAAAGAAACCCATAATCTGGAGGATTTGTCACCAGTGGAGATAGACACTGTTATGACTACGAAATCTCGACTTCCAGAATTTGATCGTAGTGATCCTGAGTTGTGGTTTGCTCAACTCGAGCATTATTTCACGAGACACAATATCAAATCTGAAGGGATTCGCTATAGAGATTTGTGTTCTATCCTTCCTCCTTCAGTCGCCAAAGAAGTCCGTGACTTGATTTTAGATCCACCATCACCACAACCGTACACCGTCTTAAGACGAGAGATAATGAACCGTTTATCATTATCAGATAGTCAAAGAATCCAAAGACTTTTTCAAGGTGAAACACTAGGTGATCGGTTGCCGTCACAGTTTCTACGTCACCTCCAAGTCTTAGTGGGTGATAACACAGTGGGTGAAGCAGTCCTAAAACAAGGATGGATACAAGCTCTCCCATGCTACGTCCAACATTGTTTGGATGCACAAGATCCTGAAACCTCATTATCTCATTTAGCGCGTATAGCTGATAGAATAATGGAAAGAGGTCCTCCAACTGGATCAGGCACAATAAATCACACACAGAAAGTAGAATCAGCAAAAGACCCCGTCATAGAAGGACTCATTGCGAGTGTTAAGAGTCTCACTGAGGCTGTCACCAGAATGCAAATGGGTCATACAAACAGGAACAGGTCACCACAACGATCACGATCCAAGTCACAAAATAGGTCACAAATGTCCAGACAATCTGGGCAGTTTTGTTGGTACCACTGGAAGTTTGGTGTCAACTCAACCAAGTGCAGGCAACCATGCGCCTGGCCTAAGCATAATTCCAAGACAGCGGGAAACGAGTAACCCCTCCCCAGGTCGCGACAACTGAGGAGGGGCGCCTAAACAGTCGCTTGTTTTATGTCAGAGACAGAAACTCGGGCTTGAATTTCTTGGTGGACACTGGCGCTGCTCTTAGCATCATCCCTCGAAATAAAACTGAGATTAGTCGAGAAACATCCCCGATTACACTTCAAGCTGCAAATAAAACTACAATCGCGACATTTGGGCAGAAAACGTTAACCCTAGATTTGGGGTTCAGAAGGCAATTCCCTTGGGTTTTCACGGTAGCCGACTTAGATCTGGCAATACTGGGGATGGACTTTCTAGAGAGATACGAATTTCTAGTTGACACCAAGAAACGGCGATTAACACTAAAAGAAACTTCGTTTTACACAAAAGGCAAAGAAAGTCACATCAGCTCTCTTAACTTGATTCAAACCCCTCCAGTAACAACAGCGAAATTCCAAGATATACTCGCGGAATTTCCAAACTTAACCAAACCAAACCCACAGCCTTCCAAAGACAAACTAAAAGTAAGTCACACTATCAAAACCGAAGGTGCACCGGTGTTTGCAAAACCCAGAAGACTAGCACCAGATAAGCTCAAAATCGCTAGAGCCGAGTTTGATTATATGCTACAACTGGGTATTATCCGTCCCTCTGATAGTCAATGGGCATCCCCTTTGCATATGGTCCCAAAGAAGAATGAAGGTGACTGGCGACCGTGTGGGGATTACAGAGCCCTCAACCGTCAAACCGTACCAGATAGGTACCCAATACCGCATATACAAGATTTCACAAACGGTTTACAGGGTATGAACATATTCACCAAAATTGACTTAGTCAGGGCATATCACAATATCCCGGTGGCTGATGAAGATATCCCTAAGACAGCTATTACAACACCCTTCGGCTTATTCGAGTTTGTACGCATGCCATTCGGCCTGAGAAATGCGGCACAGACATTTCAAAGATTCATAGATAACCTACTTCGAGATATGCCATTTGCGCAGGGGTATATAGACGACTTGTTAATTGCCAGCCCCAATTTGCAATCACACGAAGAGCATGTACGAGCAGTGTTGAAAAGATTGAATGAACATGGAATAAACATACATCAAAGTAAGTGTGTTTTCGGTGTTCAAACTTTAGAATTTCTTGGTCACACAATAAGCCCAGAAGGGATTAAACCTATAAAAAAAGAAGTGGATACCATCAAACAATACCCGATACCTAGCTCTCTAACACAAATGAGAAGTTTTCTAGGTCTAATTAACTTTTATCGCAGATTCATACCAGGTTGTGCACAATTAATGCAACCTTTAACAGATTTACTTAAAGGAAAACCAAAAGAATTCAAACTGTCTTCTGACGCCGTCGAAGCTATTAAACAGCTTAAAGATAAACTGGCTCAAGCAACTACGTTGATATATCCGAATTCTCTTTCCCCACTTGCTTTGATGGTGGATGCTTCAGATAAAGCAGTAGGCGGTACCCTTAACCAACTGGTTAAAAACGCCTGGAAACCAATTGCTTTCTTCTCGAAAAGACTCGCTCCAGCTGAGACAAGGTATTCTACCTTCGGGCGAGAACTTCTTGCAATCTACCTGACTATTAAACACTTCCGACACATGTTAGAAGGTAGGGAATTTATAGTCTTTACGGATCACAAACCACTGACGAATGCATTAAAAGCGAGAGCCGATAAGTACTCACCTCGAGAAGTCCGACACCTTGACTATATATCACAGTTCACAAGCGATATCCGACATGTCAAAGGTCAGGACAATCAGGCGGCAGATGCTTTATCCAGACTAGAAATGAACGTGGTACAGCAGTCTACAGTAAACTTCGAGACGTTGAGACACGAACAAGAGCAGGACCTAGAATTACAAAACCTACTCAAAACAAACAATTCAAGTCTTAATTTAAAACAGTTCCCATCACCTATCGATGGTATTCTAATTTACTGTGACACGACCAAGGCAATGCCGCGACCTTTCGTTCCCAAAAATATGCGAAAGTTGATATATAATAACTTTCATTCTTTGTCTCATCCTGGAGCAAAAGCTTCAACTAAACTAATCAATGCCAGATATATATGGCCGAATTTACAGAAGGATGTACACAAATGGGTTAGAGAGTGTTCAGCATGCCAACAATCAAAGATTAATCGTCACACAAATTCACCCATAGGTGTTTTCTCGCAACCAGATGCACGTTTTGCACATGTGCATATCGACTTGGTAGGTCCTTTACCCCGTTCAAATGGTTTTAATTATCTTTTTACATGCATAGATCGATTTACCAGATTCCCTATAGCCATCCCGATAGCGGACATCACAGCGGAAACAGTAGCCAAAGCTTTCATGCAGAACTGGGTAACCATTTTTGGTACACCCATAACAATAACGACGGATAGAGGAGCGCAATTCGAATCCGAACTATTTAATAACTTGGCTAAACTTCTAGGCTCCAATAGGATACGCTGCACTGCATATCATCCTCAGGCTAATGGGATGGTAGAACGTTTTCACCGTCAGCTAAAAACTGCCCTTATATCTCACTCAAACCCCAATCAGTGGACAGAATTCCTACCTTTAGTTATGTTGGGAATACGAACATCTGTCAAAACTGACGCACAATGTTCAGCTGCGGAACTGGTTTTCGGAACAACTCTGAGACTACCAGGTGAATTTATTAACTCTAATACTAACAGTCAAAAACTTAATTTAGAAAATTACGTAGATCAACTACGGGACCATATGTCCAAACTTAAACCAATTAATACTCGCGAACAATCGCGCGCCGTATATGTACCTAAAGACCTAAGCAATTGCACGCACGTCTGGATAAGATGTGATAAAATAAAATCACCACTCAGTCCTCCATTTGAAGGTCCTTTCAAAGTCGTCTCAAGAAAATCTAAATATTTCGTGATAGAAAAACATGGAAACATCGACACAATAAGTATTGATAGGCTAAAGCCGGCTTATCTAGATCATGAACCACCATACGTATTGTTAGATCGTTTAACTGACAAATCCATTACGGAATCGAAATGTAAAGATGATAAATCTTTACAAATGACTAAAACGGTTCACTGGGCACATCCAATTAGTCAGTCAAGGATGTTGACAGTTTCGGCTGCAGGATAAAATCTAACCACGTAGCTAATCAGACCCTGCATCTACTCAAAAATATTTTTCCCCTCATTCCGCCTCACCTACAACTCCCTAGACCTTTTACCTTTGATATATAAATGTTATGTTAAATTTTTTTTTAAATACTGGACACATAAGCTAGGTATTCCGAAACGATGGCTGAGGATTTTAATCAAACTCATACAACTAACACTGGCAAATACAACGAATTCACAAAGCAACCCAGGCGAGTTTTAT